AAAGGGGAGGGGCCAACTGCCACTTGGCAGGGGCAGGCATTTTAAATAGGCAGTCTGTGGTCTGAGAACTGCAGGGAAAGCTGGTTCTATTGTGTTGAGAATCAGGAAGGTTTAAGCTTTTAGCCTGTGTGGTTTAGATAGGTCAAGTTGACTTATTTAGATTAGTAGTAAGAGTATGAGTTAAAAAAAAAAAGGGAGGGGAGAACCCCAGTAAGAATCTTTATTGCAACAGAGATAACAGAGAGAAAGAGTAAGATAGTACCTAGAATGATCTGTTAAGGAAAGAAACACATTTTGAAGGAAATAAGTTTAAAACCTGTCTAGTGGAAAGGATAGCCCTCTTAAGAGTAGGTTTATGAAAGGTTATAAATGTAACCACTAATGAAATATACCTCTAAGAGTTAAGAAACATTGAAACCATTAAGCTTCTTCTATACTTCAATAAACTTATTACAGTTTCTCTTAAATACAAGCCTCTGTTTCGTATACTTTCAAGTCAAGCCGCACTACACATTGAAGGAAGACAAATAAAATATTACCGGCTAGTGGTGGTGTTATCAATTTTGTAAATCTATTACAAATTATAGGAGACCCTGAGAAATCTGTGACGTCCCTACAACTGGTGGCGTCGTTACACCTACTAAATTACAAGATTCTGCAGGATGAAGCTACGGGAGTGAAAGGAGTATCAGTGTGATATAACTGCATCTCAGATATAAAGTGAAGCACAAGGGAATCAGTAGATAAGTTTAGATTTTTCTACCATAAACAAGTTATTTTTGTTCCTCAAGCCAATGGGCATGTCAGTCTGGAAGATCTTCTAAGGGTTATGGCACTTTACAGATTTATTTCTACTTTCATCTATGTCCCCAAGGGTTCTCTCATTTGCAGTGGCAATCTTAGCAATCTGTTACCTGAAGAAGAAGTCCTATGTACCCCTCTCCCCCCATCACATCATATCTCTATGACAGTCATTATCTGCCTCTTTTTGGAGAGCAACACTGACTACGTATAACACCAGGTCTTGCTCTCCATGGAGCTGGCTCGGATGTGTCCTTAGAAGTAGGCACTGCTGGCTGGATGAAGGTCCCCTTTGAAAGCTACATGCCAACTGCTTTGACTGGCACTTTTCTCTGGAGATGTACAATTCTTTCTAGTGGGGGAGGGCACAAGAATTACTAGACTGGGTGCTTTATCATCATCATCATCATCGTTGTTGTTGTCATCTGCAGAAGTCCTTTAAGAATGAAACAGAGCCCTAGTTGAGCCCAAATTTTGGCTTGGATTCAACAGATTAAATGCCTATGTAAAATCCTCTGTGGTTACCACACTTCTTCATGTACAATGAAGCCCATTGGAATGCATGCAGATGAATAACTTTCCTTCATAGAAAAGGGCAGACAGTTTTTGTGCTTCTAGGGCTTTTGGCCGCTCTCCATTTTTCAGACGATAGGAATGACATTATTTGGCTCAGTGGGGTGTTTTAATGCACCGTCTAGCACTTAATTCAATTCATTTTAATAGTTCATGGGCCCATCCTAAAATATGGCAATTCACATAACAAAATGCATGGCACTCTATATTTTTGTTCCTAGGCAGTATAATTGAATTTATATAGCACTGAAGTGTATTAATATTTTATATCAATGTTACCTTGCATTTGTCATTGTCAATCTCTGTTTGGCAGAATGGACTTTATGCTACTCGGCAAGGCAGAGAAAGCTGTTTCAAACTCAGCACCAGGGACATAGGAAGGAAACATGATGATTGCAGCCATTTGAAGTGTGCTGCTATGCTCAGAAGCATATTACAGGTTGAGTATCTCTTCACTGAAATGCTTGGGAACAGAGGAATTCTGAATTTCTATGGTTTTCCTGAGATGTTGGAATTCTTGCATATACGTAATGAGATATCTTGGAGATAAAAGTTAAACACAAAACTCATTTCTTTCATAGACACCTTATACACATAGCCTGATGGTACTATTATACACAATATTTGTAATAATTTTGTGGATGAAACAAAGTTTGTGGACATTGAATCATCAAAAAGCAAAGATGTCACAGTCTCAGCCACACAAGTGGATGATTTTGTAGTGTTCTGAATTTCAGATTTCCATATAAGAGATACTCAACCTGTATAGGTATTATTATTATTATCTATACCCTGAAGCTCAAGGTGGCTTACAAAGTTATAACAAGTACAGATAAAATTCTACATCATAAAGACATAAAAAAGATAAAATATAATTAAACCATAAATTGTGTGAAAGGCAATTTAGAAACATTATAATTAAAAGTAGCAACAACAAATATGGTCAATACAGTACTTTACAGAAAGCCCTTTCCCCACCAGCAGTTTGTTCTCAATGACCTGTCATAACTCTGTACTGCATCCAAAGAAATGGCTTTATGTCTGTGAAAGGTCATGCAAAAATTAAAAAAACTAGTTTGTCTTAGTGCTACTACATTTTTTCTTCCTATTCCACTTCCTACTTTTTATACTGGTAGAAAAAAAAGTCTTCATTGGTCTCCGGAACAACAACTTGAAACAAGCTGTCTAACTTCTTTAGGAAGGAAGCTCCAGAACCTGGAGTAGACACCAGGAAGGTCTTCCCAATGACTTCACCAAATGTAACTGAAGGTGGTAGAACAGCCTCTCCTGAAAATCTTAGAGCCTGAAAGACAAATGGACCATAAAATAATCTAGACCCAAAGTTGTATTGGGCTTTGTATACCATACTATGACTTTAATTGTGAAGAGAACTGTGAAGCCAACTAAAGATGGAAAGACTTTCTGAAATGTTCAAAAATGGTTGAAAAAATTGTATTTTCTGTCAGAAGAATGCTGTTTTTTTTTTCACACTATGGCAAATTTTGAATAAAAGTGCACAGCACAACATTTCAGTGCAAAAATTGCTTTCCCACCCCCAGCTTTGATAATGCTACTTCTTGCATTAAAAATACTAATGCACATTTCAAACATAATAAATCCCAGACTGCAAATAGTATTTGAAAAGTGTACAATTTGCTCAGACCATCTTCCCTTGAGGGTGAAATCAGTGAATACAGGCAATTAACATCCTTAGTTGCAACACGGGAATTGTATACTCACTGTAGCTGGCCCCAGTTATCAATGTAGTTCTATTTGGGTCAAATGATGTTTCTGACTACTTTTTCAAAGGCCATATGGTGTATGTTATGCAGTCCAAAGAGAATGTAACTAAGGTATGTGTCATTATAGACAGATACGATGTTTCTAGGATTGGGCACAACTGCTTCACAAGGCTTAAATGTGCAAATGCACAACTAGCCACCACATAAACATCAGCTTCCAAGATCAGAGCCAGATCTAGAAGTCTAAGTGGTGAACCTATGTCTTTATCCTTTTACCCAAAGCTGCCTTTTGCCTGACCAGCAGTGGAACTCTAATGGTCACAGCTTTATTATAGCTGAAACTGCTTGAGGCCTTCTGCATGACCCTAGCGTGGGGTAAGGATCTAGATGTCACAGGACCAATTGCAACCCTACCTCGCCAACCCTAGTACTGGAGAAAACATAGAGTGACAAATGTGCGATCCAATATGGACAGAAATCAATATGTGGTTCCATTGTTACCTGGGAATGGCCTCAAAAGTCTGGACCTAAGGCTCCCTAAGAGATGATAGACACATTGGCCCATTTTCCCCAAACTGGATTGACCCTTATGCAAAAGCTACCAAAGATGTGAGAAGGAAAGCCAGTGTAAAATAATTTTTATAAAGGCTAAGCTACCAAAAATGTGAGAAAGAAAGCCAAGGTAATACAATTTTTATAAAACAGTGTTTCTTGCAAGCTTGATGCACTAACACTGAAAGTATGACAGAAGGAAGAGTCAGAACAGAATGAAGCTGTGTGAAATAATATTTTTATGCTCCTCAGGGATACTTCCCTGCTGACTTCTGTACAGAAAAGTTTATCCTTTGAGCTGGCCAATTGCCTGCCTGATGGACCAACAATCCCTTGAGGGGCGGCTTGCTCCTGGAAAGAAGGCAGCAATGCAATGCCTTTAGGAGAGGCACATATTGGATCTTTATGTCTCCTCAAGCAGGGCCTAGGTGCCATCTCATAGGTCCCGTCTACACTGCCGTATAAAAATCCAAATAACTTGCTTTGAACTGAATTATATGACAGTGTAGACCCATATAATCCAGTTCAAAGCAGACAATGTGGATTATCTACTTTGATAATCCAGATTATATAGCAGTGTAGAAGGGGCCAAAGAGGAGGAAAAAAATCATGTTACCTATCTTTATGCAAGAAAACAAGTGAAATCAAGATTTAAATTCCTTTTTGTTGTCATTGTTGTTTTGTGCCTTCAATTCATTTTTTATTTATAGCAGTCCTAAACCAAACCAATCACAGGGTTTTCTGTGGCTAAGAGTATATAACTCATCCAAGTTCACCCAGTGGGTTTCCATAGCTGAGATGATTATTGAACCTTAATCATCAGACTAATAGTTCAATGCTTAAATCACGTCAGCACACTGGCTGGCTATCATATATATATATATATATATATATATATATATATATATATACATCCCCAGTTACGACTAACAGCAGTTCCACTTATTTCAATGTGCATAAACAAGGCTGGATTAATATATTTATCCAGAGTTTCCTCACTTGAAGGATTAATTCGACTCTGGAATTCTACCCGTATTTTCCTTTTTCAGCTCCTTCTCAATCAGTCTTTAGAAAGAACAGGAAAAATCCTACAATGATTTTTTTCTCTCTCACTCTCTCGGATTTAAGATGGCTAAAATAATTCAGCAAGAAATTGGCATCCTGTAGTGTAGGGTTTTACTGTGGGTTTTATTTATATTTTTAATTATCCTGTTGTTTGCCACCTTGAGAGGATTTTCCTTCTGAAAACCTGGTGATAAGATAAATGAACAGTTGTTGGATTTGGATGGCAAATGGCAGCCTGCAATAATGAAGTTGATCTTCTCTTTTTAGGAATGGAACTCTGTTGTGGAAGAATTGAAATCTGATGCACTAAAAATTCTGTTTTCTGAAGAATATGCTGAAAAAGAGCACTTAAAGCTTTCAAATCAGAAAATTAACCTGTTGCAGACCGAAGTGAAGCGTTGCATGGATGACCGGAAGGCTTCATTGCAAGAAACCAATGACTTCTTCACTTCAGCAAGGAAGGTTAGTCAAAGGTTAGATCCATAGTAGTAAATGACTCTTAGGGGTACATTTTACTTACTTAAGCGATACCTCGTTGGACGAGTAGGATAATCTTCCAGGATCAGTATTCTGGTGGGTCCGTAGGTGACTGTGGAGCCCTATTCTTGACCTGCATCTTCTCCCACAGTGAGGGCATTGGTTTCCAGGTGGAAGGCAGTCTCGGTCGGGGTTGGCTTGATGCGCCTTTCTCTTGGCACGTTTCTCTCTTTCACCCTCCATTCGTGCCTCTTCAAATTCTACAGCACTGCTGGTCACAGCTAACCTCCAACTGGAGTGCTCAAGGGCCAGGGCTTCCCAGTTCTCAGTGTCTATGCCCGAGTTTTTGAGGTTGGCTTTGAGCCCATCTTTAAATCTTTTTTCCTATCCTCCAACATTCCGTTTTCCGTTCTTGAGCTCGGAGAAGAGCAACTGCTTTGGGAGACGGTGGTCGGGCATCCGGACAACGTGGCCGGTCCAGCGGAGTTGATGGCGGAGGACCATCGCTTCAATGCTGGTGGTCTTTGCTTCTTCCAGCATGCTGACGTTTGTCCACTTGTAATATATACATTGTAGAATTAATATAGTCTGACATCACGTCAATTGCTAGGATTAGAGGCTATGTAATCCTGAGATTTGTATTTTGATAAAGCACCAGCACTCTCTGAAATAGAAAGCTAAAGACTTTGTAAAATTACAACTGCCATGATTCCATAGCATTAAGTCATAGTTTTAAAGTGATGTCAAACTGGATTCATTCTATTGTGCAGATAGACTCACTAGAGAATGAATCCACTTTAAATCTGGTTTCTTCCTCCTGCAGAATTCTGGGGTTTGTAGTTTAGTGAGGCTGTTAAAGGCTCCTCCCTAAACTCCAAACCCCAGAATTCTGCAGGAGGCAGAAACCGGATTTAAAGTGGATTCATTCTCGAGTCTAGTGTGATGAGGCCATTAGACTGAACAAAAATGCCCAGTGCCCCAAATGTGGCTTATATTCCAAACACCAGGTGGTGCTGTGTGCATAGACATTCTTGGAAAGGCAATAAAATTACTAAAAATATATCAGAACTGCTTGATGTTTTTTCAAGTCACAGAGACTAAGTTTAGAAATTGGTCTCTTCTTTGTTTGTGCCTTGTTCTTGTGTTAGGATTGGTTCTCAGAATGGATCACTACTACTCTAGCAAAATATCCAGGAGGTGCTTATGGTGTTCCCTTATGGTCCTGGCAGCAGATGATATTGTAGTAATTTCAAACTCTTCTCTCCAGATGGCAAAGGCATGAGTTGTTGGGAGGCGTATTCTCCCGCAAGATCATTGGGCAAAGCATAAAGTTATATCAGTTGCACACAAAAGCTGCCCGGCTCAGCTTCTGAAGGCATGCATCTACTTCATCTCTCAGCCCAGCTCCTCTTTCCAATAGGTTTAGTTGGTCTTAAAATATAAAGCATTACAGATAGCCCTGCGGCTATTCAGCTACAGTTTATGCACCTCTCTCACAATTACTCTTTGTATATTATTGAGTCTTTTTTGCCAGCTTTTTTTTTTTTTTGCTTTCTAAATAATATTACATTTTATGTAGCTTAGAAATATTTAAAAGGCATTTCCTCTCAGGTGTTGAGCTTTTATACCATTTCCTTCTGTAGGAATATTTCTGCATACAAAATAGAATGTTATTTTTTAAATGTTGCATAAATGTTACTTCCTTAACCACTGGAGTACTTTGAATGGAAATAGAAGGGAGATATAAGTAAGCAAAAGCTGCAAGTCCACATTTCCCCTGTTTTGTTTGCCAAAGGAAAAACTGTTTGTATATGTGTGGTGGGGGTTATGTGAGACTCTTCTGCAATGCCAAATAAAATCCAAATTATCTGATTTGAATTGGATTATATAGTAGTGTAGAAGGGGCCTGAATCACTTGTACTTGAATTATTCCTAATTCCCTTTTTTTGCCCATTCAAACAAATTCTGTTTCATTCATTAAATTTGACTTTTCCCCACAGTGTATGCCATGTAATGAATAGGTACATAGTCAATATAATGCTGATGCTGTGTCTGATTCAGGTTGTAGTGACCCTGGGGCCCCTTGTACATTGCCATATAATCCAGTCATATGAGTCTACACTGCCATATAATCCAGTTCAAAGCATATAATCTGGATTTTATATGGCAGTGTAAAAGGGGCGTGTGATGAACTAGTTGCAGAGTTTTCTTGGCAAGCTCTGTTCAGAGGAAGTTTGTCATTGCCATCATTTCAGGTTGAAAGAGTGAGACTTGCCTAAGGTCATCCAATGAGTTTCCATGGCCGAGTGGAGATTCACACTCCTGTCTTCCACAATCTTAGCCCAATGCTTGAAACACTACACCATGCAGGATCTCCGTAGCTTATATTTATTTCTATGACAGTATTGCAGTAATGGAATGAGACCACTGCTTCTGAAAAATTACTGGCAAACCAATGTGAGTCATTAATACCAAAGGTTTATACAACTTCCCCTCAATTTCTATCATCCCTATTTTGGGATAAAATCTTGGTTAGGCTTTGTATTTTCCCTCTTGCATCGTAACTAAGAGTATCTTCGATTTCATACCATCAAACACATATGCATTATAAGAACAACCTTTGCTGTGTTCTGCCCCCTGAAGGCCCCACTACTGTAGCTGTATATGACAGCAGATCCTTCCATCACTTTTTCACTAAGGGCACTTCTAGACAGGATTTAAACCAGCTTAGGAATGGGTTAAAGAAACCCCCCCTGAAGCGGTTTAAGTCCCCACGCCCTTCTGAAAGACCTGGGCTTTCCTGGGGGCTGTCCCCATTCCAGCGCAGTAACTACTGTGCTGGAATGTACCCTCCAAAAAGTTTTAAATTTTTTAAAAAACCCTCACTAGGTCACCTTGAGGCTACTCTAGCAGCCCTCCTGGCACGTTAAAATGACATATGAGGAGCAATCCCCCTCCCCACGCCTCTTCACACATAATTTTTTGTGCCAGAAATGCTGCCAGAGCAACCCAGTAAAAAAAAATTAAGGCTTCGGGGGGGGGGGGGAGTGCCCTCTTTGCTTCTCTGGTGTATGTATTTCATTCAGGATAAAGCAGGGTTTTCCTGCTTTGTCCTGAATTAATCCTCATTCAGACACCTCAGGAAAACATCAGACAAGGCCCGCATTCTGACATTTCACACAGTTCAAACCAAGGGGAAGAAGCAAGTAACCAGGAATATGCAGGTACTGATAATAATGGTCTTTCTGAGTTTGAGGAGCCAGAGATTGAAGCAGAGTGAGTCTTACTCCCCAACGGAAGGCCATAAACATCAAGACACATTGCCATCATTCATCACGCAGCAAAGGGACAAGGAGGGAATGTGCTGCTACCAGCAGTTATTAAGAAAGAGGCACTGACCTAATTCTGCACCTGTGTCTGGAGACAGCTGTCTATAAATACCCCTGGCAGCTTTGTTACATTCAACTAGCAATACTTTTCAGTGATTGTGATTTCTTGACCTTGGACTATCTAAGGTGTACAAGTGTTTTTACTGGTTTTATTTACCTGTACTACTCACTTGCTAAATGAATTCTTACTAACTAATGACCATTCTATTGTTCCTTCTTTCATTCGGCTGGATACTCTGTGGCCCCATCCACATAGCTGTAAAATCCAAAATTATGTATATTATTGGTGGGGATGGGCAGCAGCAACTAGAAAACACACACTCCTAAAGCACACTTCAGTGCACGTCCACATGGAAACTATGTGTTTAAAAAAGGAGGAACTGTGAAATTGGTTAAAAAAATACACTGCAGATGATCAGGGTATGGATGCTGCACGGTGGAAATTTAGCAGGAACATGCACAGCACCCATGTAAACAGTGTCACCATTAGAATATCCCAATGGATATTCTGGATATGGAGCTCTCATGAAGGTAAACACACACACTGCCCCAAAAGGAAAGTGCTTCCCCCTTTTTTGAAGTTGAAGATAAGTCCCATTCTCATCCAACAGGCTGCTGTAGTCCAGCATGGTTCTGTTGGATCTATTCAGCATGAGGAGAGCTTTGTGGACTCCACAGGAGCTTTTTTTTTTTTTTTTTTGCAGTTTCCAGGGTGGGTGTGGAAACTCTCCAGGATGGAACTGGATTCCTTTAATCCACATCCAGATTTGGATTATGTAGAAGCAGCCTGTTGACTGTCCAGGACTGACTTTTAACTCATTAGAGATTATCACACTATAATATTAAAAAGTTGGTATACCACTTTAACTTCTATGGTTGATTCCCATAGAATCCTGGGATTTGCAGTTTAGGTTTGGCCCTTTAAAATTCTCAGCCAGAGAAGTGCTGTATCTCACTAAACTGCTAATCTCTGAACCCCATGGGAGGCAGCTATAGGATTAAAGATGGGATAACATTGCTTTAAAGTGTAGTGTGATGACATCTTAACAGCACTCCAACCATCTGGCTCCTATGTCTCTTACTGGCAGGAACATGGCAGGACACTAGAAGACCTGATTGATTCTCTGTTAAACAAAAGCATGTACTCCCCATGTGCCTTATTTTATGTAGAAATGATTTTCTTGGAAGATGAAAGTGGGTTTTCTCATGTACATTTGCTCCTGCTCCACTGAATTTGGCAGCACATACCAGCAGGTTGTAGTCCATACCAGGACTGAGAAGGGCATTTTAATGTTTTAACATCTGGTGAGTTTTGCATGAGAGATTTCTTTTTTAAAAAATTGAAGAGAAGATAACTGGAGAAGATACCACAAGATGTACATTGCAGAAACAGATTTTAAAGTTTTCAGACTACATAATTACTTCTGCCTGGTGCGCATCTACACTCTAAGCAGTTGTTTATTTTTATTTAAAGATTTTTATCTCTGTTCTTCAGGCAAAAAGGATCCCAGTGTGGCTTAAACAACACACAAAATCAATAAAAATAATACAAGCCCTACCTGCAGGATTTCAGTTTAAAAGACAATGCAAAAAGAG